TGACCATATTTTTAAGGCACATGCTGTGAATGGGACCCCTTCCTAGATCGCCTGCCCGAATGTGCGTATCTTTGCGTAAGATGTCTTCGCGGCCGAAGGCCGTGCATCGAGGACGTCCAGGCCGCGTGTAATCTAGCTCCCCAGAATTCATTAGAGGTAAGGTACTGGGTTTCTATTGAATCTAACATAAAATACTGTCACGCTTCAACCAGGTTGCACTTGTCCGGGATTTGATTTGCCGAGGACGTGAGTTATCTTCGAATGCGATGTCTGTGCTCTCAACTATTGGTGACGATGATGCATTGAGTATTGAACTCGAAGAGAAGTATTCTTTCCTTTTCCTCCTGTTTTTTTTCAGTCATTTCCACGACACATTGTAGATGGAGAAGAAAATCAGCTTTGATAAAAGGCAGCTGTTGAAGCGGCTCCTTTATTTGAGACTTACAATACTATGCATTATGTGCCGCTTTTTCAGAGCTCAAACAGCCGTGGAATCAGTTTTGGCATGCGAAATTCTCGACATGGACATTCTGCCCAAAGTTGTTTCTGTCATTCAGAAGACTTGCTCAGATATCCTAGAGCATCAGAGGAGGTACTGTTGTTGCTCTACGAATTAAAGCTTAAGCTCCAAATTTTTACTGCTCGATGAATTTTCAAAGGGAATCTAATCAAAATTGAGGCCGTTTGCTTTACCTGAACAACTTGATTTTACAGCGCGTGGGTGGAAATGAGGAGCCGGCCGACACGTTCATCTCCATTGCCGTCCCTTTTCGTTCGATTAAAACGCGGAAAACGAAACTCTGGAAAGCACACGGCCAAAAAGGAACGTAAGAAGTCACGAGTCGTTTACCATCAGGACGACGAACAGTGCTCCGCCGACACTTGTCTTAAACCGTACGGTAAGTCCAGGTTGTATAATCGTATCCCTGTTTGATCAGGAGACATCTTTTGTGAACAGTGAGTTTCTCTAATGTGCGCCAAGTCAGAATAGTTAGGTTTTCGAAAATAGCTGCAATAAGATAAGAAATCCGTTTGACACCCTCCTACACTTATGCGAATATCTCAAAGTGCTCAGTTTTTAGCAGTATCAAAAAAAAAAAAAAAAAAAAAAAAAAAAAAAAAAAAAAAAAAAAAAAAAAAAAAAAAAAAAAAAAAAAAAAAAAAAAAAAAAAAAAAAAAAAAAAAAAAAAAAAAAAAAAAAAAAAAAAAAAAAAAAAAAAAAAAAAAAAAAAAAAAAAAAGATATATCAGAACCATATAATTGAACTAATACCGGCATAGATAAAGCTAGAGAAAGGATCAAACTATACTCCAACATAAAAAAACAGACACTAAAACGCAAAACCCAAAGTGGCGTCTAACAATTAAACGCATATGGGCTGTAGGCCCCGAAAAGCGGGACGGAATTTCACAGGTTATCCTGATTCCTTAATCTCAGGTCTCTTGGTTTGCCAGGAAATCCTTGAACCCATGATCGGCGCTTCTCAAACTAACTTCGTATAAGGGTGGCTATATAAAGTTATTACGGCATATATCTTCAGAAGTTTATTTTCATATACAATAAAACATGAAAATTCATTACCAAAGAAAGTGCTCGAGATGGCCTCCTTTGGTAGCGATACAGGCTTGAAGTCTCTTTTCAACTGACATCACCGTGGGCCGCAAGTAGCTGACGTCGGCGTGACGTGAGTAGATCTTCAGACCAGAAGTGGCGCACGATTTGCAAAACGACAGGCAGTTGTTGGATCTGGCTAGCAGACATTCTGCTCGACCTTGTGTACACACAAGGAAACCGTTTCGAATGACACCGCTTGTCTTTGTGGGTGAATACATCAAAGTCAGCGCCCAGATCTACCCGGAAACAATTTTCACGTAATGCCCTTCTTTCAAGGACTCTTTTGACCTTCAGCGAACGTCATTGCATTCTTCAGCAAGACAGGGCGCCTCCACATGCCGCAAAATCAATGTTGGAGAACTGTGACCGTCATTTTCCAAGTTACCGGACACAAAATGTTTGGCCATCTAAGTCGCCCGATTTGAACCAATTGATTTGGCGGTGTGGGGCTTCTTGAAGCAGAAGATGCCTTCTGAGCAACGTCGAAGTTTGGACTCCCTGAAGGCTTCCTTGGAGGAGGCGTGGAAGGAGCTTGACGTCAGCTACTTGCGGCCCACAGTGATGTCAGTTGAGAAGAGATTTGAAGCCTGTATCGCTGCCGAAGAAGGCCATTTCGAGCACTTTCTTCAGCAATGTACTGCCATGTTATAAGGTATATAAAGATAAACCTCTGAAGATGTAAAAGCTTCTCGTTTTAAAAATATGGTCAACAATCCATGCGCCAATATTTAGTAGCCACCCTGTATTTTACCTCGAGAACAAATGCTCATGGAATCCTTTCGCAGGGTCTGAGTGCTCAAGAAGCGCGTAGGTCACTGGTTGCGCGAATAAATTGTTCTAGTACTGTCATGCACATTCATGTAGTTGAAAAATACGAAACATAAGAGACCTTGAAATGGATTGAGTTTTCTTCAATACTTTTTTTCCTTCTACCTTCTTCTGTCAGCCTAGTTATGTGTGCGTTTAAAGGAAATCCGACGAAAAAGCTGTTTCAGGTGAAACCGTGGGATGGATTTTGTGCGAAGCAGGCTGCGCTCGTTGGTATCATTACGTCTGCATTGGTATGACAGCCGAAAGTGCCAAATCCTTGCCAGCCTACATTTGCTACCGCTGCAGCAGTACTGTGCAACAAATTGCACAACATCCAGTGGCTGTATAATTGCTGCTTTTCGGGCCAGCTCTTTTCGCTTTTCCTTTCTTTGCACTTTACCACAAGTTTCTAGGCACCTGAACACTCTGGCTATGAATTTGTTGTGATATTTAATAGAAGCTATGTGCGAATTGTTTCTGCTTTGAATTTTTGTGGTACGTATGACGTACATTAGATATGATGACGGCTCGTAAATTTGTATCATCTTTTTCTATATAGATTAGAAAAAACGGTATTCTTGCGCTAGCATATGGGCAGAAATTGAATGTGGAATCTTTTGGGAGCGTGTTCGCAGCGAGGTAGACTCTGTCGTTAATCTGTCTGATTTGTCTTCTATACGGTTCTATGCATCATAAGCTGACTATGATAAGAGGGTGCTGTATGAGACCTCTCGCGCATAGTAGACATGTCCCGACTATCGTCGATCGCGCTACGGCTGCTTTCCAAGAAAGGCTGATGACACCTGGTTAGGCTTGTACTTTTGAGTTCAGATGGAAATATCAATCTTTCCCCAAGGGGTATAAACTAACGAGCAATTATGCGAAATAATAACCCAGCATTATTCTGTTCAGCTTTGCTAATTTGAGCTTTTAGGTAATTTGCTCTTTCGGGTGACGAGAAATCAATTGCAGTGATTTTTCATTCACTCCTTTCCTTGTTCTTGTCAATGATTCTCTGTTTAAGGCTTTTTCAATGCAGTTTTAATAGATGTGTCAATATACTCTTGAAGAGGATATCAATCTTGTTTTTAGGTTCTCTGTACATTAGTATGATCATTGATGAGATTTAGCCAAAATTTTTCTGACCACTTACCCGGAAGTTTTGTTTTGTATTTCTTACTAAATATAGTTCATTGTTCTTTTCTGTTCTGTGTTTTCCCTGTGAAAAGGGCGTAAAAGTTTCTCATAAAAGGAATGGCTGGTCTGCGGATTGCCTTCATGCCACCCGCACGGGACAATGAGGTGGTGCGCTTATCAATTCGTTCGAGACTAGTTCAACTCGCTACGCACGCATTGTGGACGGGCGTCCGCTCATGGGGGCACCCGACAGGAGGCCCGTCGCGCGGCAAGAAGGCAGAGTCGGCGGACGAGTCGCAGCGCGTGATGTGCGATGTAGGACGTACAATGGTACATTCTATTTAACTTGACGCGAAATCACTACAGTACGCGCTGCGACTCGTCCGCTGACTCTGCCTTCTTGCGCGCGAGGGCCTCCTGTCGGGTACCCCCGCTTACGGTTAGTTCATTGCACTTGATACACTTACCAGAAAGGTCATTTGGTCAACCCGGCCAATTGAAATGAGATGTATATGTGTATACGCGCCTTGGGACGCTGAGCTCAAATATGTGTTCCTTATCTGCTGAACTCTTCTCTGAAAGGAATTATGAAGCAGAAAAGCGCAGGGGCTGTGGTCGAGGCTCACGAAAAAGAGGTCAGGGATCGACTCCCTGGCGAGTTTGTTCTTTTGCCGTTTGCAGTAAGATAGCTAGGAAGATTCCTAACATCGCTAGTCCAACATGCTTGCGTATAGCTAACCGTATAAGAATTTCAACGGCAGCTGATAGCGAATTTGGGTGGTTGGGTTTGGGTTTTTGGGTCCCTCCTTACTATTTTAGGTTCCTGTAACGCAGGCGCCAGGCATTCTCGCACCGAACATGATATGTATAGCACTAAATATGTACAGTCCAGCTACCTGATTACGAATGTTGTGATATTTGTAATCAGGGAGTCGGACTCTCCCTTTGGGAAAGCTTCTAGCCAATTCTGAAATTTTGACCTAACCTCGAAAATTTGGGCAGTCACTTACTCACTTGTCCATCATTACAAGAAGGCTGGTACTGGGATAGAATAAACCTTCTAAACCACTTTAAAATGACAACAATTAGTGTATGGCTTGCCTGACTGCATCATTCTAACGATAAGATCTGCAACGCATTGTTTCCCAATACATAACTACATCCTCCCCTGTCCCCCTTCCCCGTTACCCATGATTGGTCAACCCTAAAATTTGAGTTTGGGAGTGCTAATCCCAATCACTGTTTCTTTTTTCTCAACTAGTTCATAACCTCAGGTTTAGGAATAGTTTGACCTCCTGAAGCACGAATATCGTACCTATTTGCCAAGGAAAAGCCTAGCACTTGAACTACGGGCACCACTCACAGATGACTAGTGATCAAAATAAAGAGGATCTAGACACTTCAAACTGTTCATAGATGTATCATTAGCGACCGTTGGAATAACGAATTTAAAAGGCTTTTTAGCTATTTTGAACAGAAGCAAAACACTAAACTAAGAAAGGAATCGAACCCTCAGCCCCTTGCTTGAAAAGCAGGACCTTTGTACCAGCTGTGCTACCAAGGCTGGATTCGCAGTTACTTTGTGACATTTATAATGGAACATAGATGAGGTTGCAAGCAAGACACTAAAGAGTTACAGCGGTGAGGGAAATGCTCCTTAACACAGCGACGAAAATGCGGAAAACTACTGTCAGCGTTATCCGGGGCAGGGTCAACCGTCCGTTCGAACTGTTCGAACGAAGGGGTCGCATTTTGGTCGGAAGGGGGTCGCAATTTCGAGGACTGCCAGCCACAGGCGCGTGCGTGGCGTATCCGAGGGCAAGAATTGTTTGTGCAGACCGCATTAGATTCGATTATTATGCACAGAGAGACAGTTTTAGGCAAATTACGGTGTTTTCCTTGAGGAATAAAGAACAGTTGAATGCATCCCTATGAAAGGTTTGACTTCTCGGGGCTGAAATTAAAGTTCTTCGGGACCTAATTTTCTGAGGACGATTCTTCCAGACAACGGTAAAACACATAAGAAAGCAGAAATCTCGTAGTCTTCAAAAATGTCTTCGCCCCTCCCCAACAAGTTCTTTGAAGGAAGTTATTATTGCTGAAAGCTCAAAAACTCGCATGTGCTGCTCAAAAACCTATGGGAACAAAATGTTCGAACGTGTGATTTTCTCGGAAAATGGATTTTGAAAAACGGTTTGGTGCTTGTAGAAAGAGCAAATCCTGCTCTTTCACCCCATGGAAAAGTGCATCACAGAAATGAAAATGAAGTGAGTTATGCCCGCTGAAAGCCCAAAAACTCGCGATTTGCAAAAAAAGTGTTCGAACGGGGCGATTTTTTGAAAAAGAGGACAATCGTCAAACTTTTTATATTATTTTGTTAGAGAAATATTTGAAGTTTCTGAAACTTTTTACAGATTTCCAAAATGTCGCATACGAAAGATTTTATGGGCCTTCAAAGTTGAAGGTGCGCCTTCTTAGAATTTTGGGTTTTCCACTTCTAACAGAAGTACTTTCCGGAGAGTTAGGCAATCCTTGTAGTTTTCTGAAGCGCACCTCAGGCACAATCAAAATCTACCTCAACAAGTCAAAAAATACGTCCCAAGAAAGTTATTCCCTCTAAAATTTTTCTTCGCCGCGTCCCGTTCTTCCAGCGCCCGGGTGATACCTGCCGCGCTCCAAGGCCGACGCCGAACGCAGACGCTTTCTGGCGCAACGGATTCATGTCTAGCACTCTTATTAACAAAAACAGGGGGTCGCAACTGGACCCCCTCGAGAGCTAGGGGGTCGCAAAAATCCCGAAAATGTTCGAACGTGACGGTTGACCCTGGGCGGGCCGTGTCGGATCATGCGAACGAGTTTCCCGCGCCCATCACAATCATTTTTTGTGATTTATTACTTGTGATTTATTTTCTTGTATTTCTTCCATGGAAGAGAGATTAGCAAGAGCACAGCTACAAACGTAGTGACCCATAGAATGACGAGTGGTCCACTTATGAGGGTTATTAGTGGATCGTACGGAGTTTCAGTTTAGTAGATTTTTTCGCTTTCCTTCGCTTGTTCTTGAATGTGAAGACGCTGAAAGAGGAGAAGTAAATACCCTGGATGGTCCCAGGATTTAAGATATGATTTCATACAAACAGCAGATTAAAGGTTAGCTTTTGACGGTCCACTGCAGCCTAAGAATTTACTAAGTTTTTTGCTGTTTTCAATTGATTATTTGCCATTCCTCTAGGGCGCAGCACAGTCGGTCGGACAGCAACGATCGTAACCGTGTCGCAAAGCAGTGGAGGACGTATCGATCGTCAGGACTTAGCCTAACAAGGGAAGGGATGGTAGGTCGAAGTGGCCGTTATAAAATGAGATGTATACCACCTGATGCGTCTCTAGACGCTGATTCCAAATCTGCCTTCCAAATCTGCTAAACGGCTCTCCGAACGGAGTTATGAAGCGTAATAGCTCAGTGGTGATGGTCCGGGGTGGCAGGTAAAAGCTCGTAGGATCGGTTCCTTTGCAAGTTTGTTGCTTTGCTTTTGTCCGCAACACTTCTAGAGACAAAAGCAAAGCAACCAATTTGCAAAGGAACCGATCCTACGAGCTTTTACCTGCCACCCCGGACCATCACCACTGAGCTATTACGCTTCATAACTCCGTTCGGAGAGCCGTTTAGCAGATTTGGAAGGCAGATTTGGAATCAGCGTCTGGAGACGCATCAGGAGGTATACATTTCATTTCGAACGGCCACTTCGACCTACCATCCTTCCCCTCGTCCTTTGTGAGTATTCGACGATTAGATGCAGTGAGAGAGTCAGACAGTGTGATCGTTGAATGTATACGGACTATGCGTGCGCCCTTACGATCGAAGTCCCACTACTGTACCCCTGGGTAGCTCCTGCTTATTGAAAATTACTGATCTAGTCTTGCATCAACCATGATTTATGTGTGTATCACTCAAAACCTGTTTGAATAAGCTGAATCGACCGCGCTCGTAAAATCGCACTGGTCCCGCGCGGCCAAAAAGGCAAAACACACGTGAGCCAATGTGCTAGCTCCTTCCAAAGAAGAGTTCAGTAAATGATGAAGTTAGATTTGAGCTTTAGATTTCAAAGTACGTAGAACTGTACACCTCATTTTGTTTTGCCGGGTCGGCCTAGAAACTTTTTGTGTCCTGTCAAACACTGCCTCATCTAAATGATGTCTTCTGGTGTGGTGAAC